CACTTCGCACCCACTGCATCTCTCACACACACACTTTCGTCTCTCTAGGCAGCGGTCGCTGTTGGCTGACTCTCCCTGCTCTCTCGCGAGCCTCAGGCCGCGAGGACAGGAGGACAAGTAGAAAAACACACAAACAAGACGACAAAATTTGATGCCAACCACGTAGCTGTCTGTCTTACCGGTCAGCCAGAAGGGCAGGGAGGAGGAGAGGGAGAGAGGCGACGGAGGGAGGGGGGGAGAGAAAGACACAGAGTGAAGCAATTTATGTTCCTATTCCAGGTGCCGTTGCTCCATCTAGTGGCTGGAAGTTAAGAAACAAAAAGTCAAAGTGCACCATTCACTAATGGAATTAATGTTCAAATCAATTTAAAGGAGATGCGGTACAGAAAGCACATCAGTATATAATCATCAGACAGCATGGTAACCTTAAACAAACAAGACAACGTTTGGTTCCTCCCCAAATATAACGACATTTCTCATTAAGCCTGTTGCTTCCTGTCGCTAATAAGATTATTTCGCTTGAAAAAATAAACAGTCAAGAATTTTCCATCAGTCTTTCATGGTTTTTACCTGATTTTTTTACATTGCTTTGTATAGTGGTTAAGTAACACCCACTCATGTCTTAAACCAGACCCAGCATTGCCAATTCCTTGTGTGGGTCGAGAGCCAATGCTCCGACTCCCTTTCCCCACCATTAAATGCCCCTAGGAGCCAGTTTTCGTAGACAAGGTTAAGCACCTCAAGGCCCCCTCTTTCGCCTGCTGCAGGGCCCTGGTTACCCACATTTAAGTGAATCACTTTTTTTTTTGATTTTTTATACTCACACTAAAGGAAAGGTGTTTGATTTTAAAAAAAAGTTAGATCTAACCCCAAAAAACAGAATCAGCAACATACCTTTTGGCCCTCATCTGCTCCTGTAGTCTGCTGTACATCTCGAGGACTGGAGAAAGCAAAGTGAGATGAAGCAAAAGACCGTTTTATTAAGAACAAGGATGAACTTTTAGGACTGCTCGGGGTAAAAAGAAAAAACATGTCGTAGTAAAGGTTTTTGGAACCGTTTTGTTGTCTTTGTTGCTGCTGTGAAACTAGGTCTAACTCTTGTGTTACCTGGTAGGCAGTGTGTCAGTTTGTCTATGGTGGTAGCGATGTTTCTCTGCTGCACTCGACACTGTTGCAGCTCCTCCATAGAGCTGGTGAGCTGAAAGGAGGAGGAAGAGGAGGTTAGTTGAGAAGACTCCAGAAACAAGTCCTAAATAGAGAACATTGCCATCTGTGAACCTGTAAGCTTACGTCTTTGCCATCATCCTGAAGACGCCTGTTGGTGTCGGTCACCTGACTCTGAGAGAGAACAACAACAAACAGGTGAGAGGGAAGTATCGAGAGTTAAAGTCTTTGCTTCGCGTTGCTCTCCATCCTGCTCGTCCCTCCTTACCTTCAGTTTCTGCGCCTCCCCTCGTACTTTGAGCAGCTCTGTGATGGAGTCCACGAAACCCTGGAAGTGATGGTTACACATCTTCTCGATCTCTCGGTCGTGGTTCCTGATCCGCACGTCCAGCTTCTCCATGAAGAGGCCATGTTCCTGGCCGTCGTACACCGACCTGGAGAACGACAAAGAGAAGACAGCGGGTGAGATATTTACATTCTTTTTAACTCCTCCGAAGTCCGAGATCGCTCCATCTTCATGCATTACAAGCACTAGAGAACTGAAACATCTCCAAAGACATGGCAGACAAAGTAAGGAGAGAGTGAAGAGGCGGAGGAGAAAAAATGAGGAGGAAGTAAAAAGAAAAAAGCTAACTTGAAGAGGAGTTTCTTGCATTTTCAGTAACGCTGTACATTCACGGTAAAGAAGAAAGGAGGAGGAAGAACTGGAGACAGAGCGGTGGTGGGGCATCCAGACGAGGAATGGGTGCACGTACAGACTTTGTCCACCAGGGGGCGTTATTGCAATGCTCTTCAGCACCACATTTCCATACATTCACAGCGGTGAGTTCACTGGGGTAGTTTCCAGATCAATGCCTTGCTTGAGGGCAGGTTATCAGGAAGTGGTGTGCAAAGGGAAAATGTTTCCCCAGCTCTATTCTACATGTAGTACTATATATTTAATAATACATGGTACATAAGTGTACACAGTAACACTTCCATCCATTCTCACACACACACACACACCGGCTCATCAGCAGCGATACAGCCCATCTAAAGCACTCCCAATGAGAAGCTCACATAACGACGGCACGACCACTGACAGCCAGAGGACACTTCGACTGGAGTACGGGAGCCAGGAATCGAACCAGCGACCCTCCGATTACAAGAAACCCCGCTCTACAGCCACCCCAGGACACTGTGTCCTTTAGGCCACCGTACACTGTTTTAGCAGTTAGTATCACAGAAATTGACATACCTCAGAATTACCACTTTATAAAGACTGAGAATGTTTTTTTAACTTTCTCGAGCTCAATCAATTAGCCGATAGACAGAAAATTACTCCGATAAATTTCAAGCAAAAAATGCCAAAACTTCTACGGCGGCAGCTTCTCATCAATAACTTTTATGTCGGTCGAACAAAACAAACTATTTAAAAAGGTGTCATCCTGGGCTGTGGGAAACTGTGATGGCCATTTCTGACATTTTACAGACCGATGGATTAATCAATTAATTATCGATTTGATGACCGATTTCACCATCATCAGCTGGTTGTTTTATTTTTTGAAGGTTTTGAGCATTTCCTCCATCTTCCTTTGTGCATTCAATTGTGGAGCAGTTCATTGAAGCTTTAACTATGCATTCTGGCTTTTTTGCTATTCTGCTGTGAATATCTACATACACTGATCAGGTTTACTTGATGTGGTATCAAACTGGGACACAGCTAAAGTGTGCGTAATTTACTCATTTCTAATTTGCAAATAATTTAGTGAAATTTGAACCAGCAACTGTCCGGTTGTGAAGGGTTTTTTTTTAGTGTTCAGGCTTCCAACAAGCATTAGGGAAACAAAACAAAACACTCAGGGTGAGAGGCTTCATCGGGACGTTTCCTGCCTACAGGCAATCCACCAAAGTGCTGCTTCAACCTGACTAAAAGCAGAGTGAAAAAAAAACCCACACTGAGTGAAAGTGTTGCTGAGAGTGAGACGAGGACAGACGAGTGTTGTTAGGATGCTGTTCATTTCAATGTAATCTCTACGTGTCGCTCTTTTTCACAGTAGTATTCCGGTAAAGAGACGTGTATGGTGTGATCTAACAGCTATTAGGGCTGCAACTAACGATTATTTCCTCAATCAATGAATCGCTTGGTCTATGAAATGTCTTTAAATGTACTGTTTAGTCCGACCGACACTCAAATACTCAAAAGTATCCCGTTTATTGTCAGGAAACCAGCAAAACCAGGATTCTTGCTTTAAAAAAAAAAGAAATAATAATTTTCGAATTGTTGAAGCTCTAAAATATAAAATATGTTTTATTTATTTGTCATTTATGATTAACAATGAATATGACACTTATTCCTTTGTCACGTTGACTCACTTTTGATATGTTTGTCTGGATTAACAACAATATGACCCCACCAGTTAAAACTCTTAAAAAAAGGACTGGGAGCTAATTGGTTGGTTTAATGTCCGGTTGGTCATTGGTTGTTGTATTAGCCACTTCAGTTTAATTACAAAGGATTCAAACTATTTCATTAAAAACTTAGATGGGAGTACATTTTGGTAAAATCAGTAATCCGGGTCCATCCCTACTTGTGAGTGGCTCTGGGAGTAAACTAGCTTCAGTTGGCGAGGTTTTAACTCAAGTTAGACGTCGGTTTAAAACTACAGTTCAACGTTTCAGCTGGTTCATTTATCACAGGATCAGTCGAATGTGTCTCTGTAGACTGAAAAAATAAATAAAAACTGTTTTTGTGGGATGTCTGCCTGCTAAAATACCACGAAGAGTCCCGAGATATCACAAAACTGAATTTCCGAATTTCAACGAAATGCGTCTCCTTCCAGACAATTCATGAAACTGCTCTCCTGAGCACGCAGATGTAGACAATTTAGAGTATTTCTTTGTACGAGCCTTCTCTGTAATAGTGATCACAGTTCTTCCTGTGTTCTTTCCCTTCCAAAAACAGCACACACACACACAC